ATCACAAGAGAGAGACTCACACAGGGTTCAGTGTTAATCACAGAGAGAGACTCACACAGGGTTCAGTGTTAACACAGAGAGAGAGAGACTCACACAGGGTTCAGTGTTAATCACAGAGAGAGACTCACACAGGGTTCAGTGTTAATCACAGAGAGAGACCTCACACAGGGTTCAGTGTTAATCACAGAGAGAGACTCACACAGGGTTCAGTGTTAATCACAGAGAGAGGAGACTCACACAGGGTTCAGTGTTAATCACAGAGAGAGACTCACACAGGGTTCAGTGTTAATCACAGAGAGAGACTCCACAGGGTTCAGTGTTAATCACAGAGAGAAGGACTCACCAGGGTTCAGTGTCAATCACAGAGAGAGACTCACACAGGGTTCAGTGTTAATCACAGAGGAGACTCCACAGGGTTCAGTGTTAATCACAGAGAGAGACTCACACAGGGTTCAGTGTTAATCACAGAGAGAGACTCACGCAGCAGGTTCAGTGTTAATCACTGAGTGAGACTCACACAGGGTTCAGTGTTAATCACAGAGAGAGAATCACACAGGGTTCAGTGGTAATCACAGAGAGAGACCTACAGGGTTCAGTGTTAATCACAGAGAGAGACTCACACAGGGTTCAGTGTTAATCACACAGAGAGAGAGAGAGACTCACACAGGGTTCAGTGTTAATCACAGAGAGAGACTCCCACAGAGCTCAGTGTTAATCACAGAGACACACACAGGGTTCAGTGTTAATCAATGAGAGAGACTCCCACAGGGTTCAGTGTTAATCACAGAGAGAGACTCACACAGGGTTCAGTGTTAATCACAGAGAGAGACTCCCACAGGGTTCAGTGTTAATCACTGAGAGAGACTCATACAGGGTTCAGTGTTAATCACAGAGAGAGACTCCCACAGGGTTCAGTGTCAATCACAGAGAGAGACTCCCACAGGGTTCAGTGTTAATCACAGAGAGACTCCCACAGGGTTCAGTGTTAATCACAGAGAGAGACTCACATAGGGTTCAGTGTTAATCACAGCGAGAGACTCACACAGGGTTCAGTGTTAATCACAGAGAGAGACTCACACAGGGTTCAGTGTTAATCACAGAGAGAGACTCACACAGGGTTCAGTGTTAATCACAGAGAGAGAGAGACTCTCACAGGGTTCAGTGTTAATCACAGAGAGAGAGACTCCCACAGGGTTCAGTGTTAATCACAGAGAGAGACTCACACAGGGTTCAGTGTTAATCACAGAGAGAGACTCACACAGGGTTCAGTGTTAATCACAGAGTGAGACTCACACAGGGTTCAGTGTTAATCACAGAGACTCACACAGGGTTCAGTGTTAATCACAGAGAGAGACTCACACAGGGTTCAGTGTTAATCACAGAGAGAGACTCACACAGGGTTCAGTGTTAATCACAGAGAGAGACTCACACAGGGTTCAGTGTTAATCACAGAGTGAGACTCACACAGGGTTCAGTGTTAATCACAGAGAGAGACTCCCACAGGGTTCAGTGTTAATCAGAGAGAGAGACTCACACAGGGTTCAGTGTTAATCACAGAGAGAGACTCACACAGGGTTCAGTGTTAATCACAGAGAGAGACTCCCACAGGGTTCAGTGTTAATCACAGAGAGAGACTCACACAGGGTTCAGTGTTAATCACAGAGAGAGACTCACACAGGGTTCAGTGTTAATCACAGAGAGAGAGACTCACACAGGGTTCAGTGTTAATCACAGAGACTCACACAGGGTTCAGTGTTAATCACAGAGTGAGAGACTCACACAGGGTTCAGTGTTAATCACAGAGAGAGACTCACACAGGGTTCAGTGTTAATCACAGAGAGAGACTCCCACAGGGTTCAGTGTTAATCACAGAGAGAGACTCACACAGGGTTCAGTGTTAATCACAGAGAGAGACTCCCACAGGGTTCAGTGTTAATCACAGAGAGAGACTCCCACAGGGTTCAGTGTCAATCACAGAGAGCGACTCCCACAGGGTTCAGTGTTAATCACAGAGACTCCCACAGGGTTCAGTGTCAATCACAGAGAGAGACTCCCACAGGGTTCAGTGTTAATCACAGAGAGAGACTCACACAGGGTTCAGTGTTTATCACTGAGAGAGACTCACACAGGGTTCAATGTTAATCACAGAGAGAGACTCCCACAGGGTTCAGTGTTAATCACAGAGAGAGACTCACACAGGGTTCAGTGTTAATCACATAGAGAGACTCACACAGGGTTCAGTGTTAATCACAGAGAGAGTCTCCCACAGGGTTCAGTGTTAATCACAGAGTGAGACTCCCACAGGGTCCAGTGTCAATCACAGAGAGAGACTCACACAGGGTTCAGTGTTAATCACAGAGAGAGACTCCCACAGGGTTCAGTGTTAATCACAGAGAAAGACTCACTCAGGGTTCAGTGTTAATCACAGAGAGAGACTCACACAGGGTTCAGTGTCAATCACAGAGAGAGACTCACACAGGGTTCAGTGTTAATCACAGAGAGAGACTCCCACAGGGTTCAGTGTTAATCACAGAGAGAGACTCACACAGAGTTCAGTGTTAATCACAGAGAGACTCACATAGGGTTCAGTGTTAATCACAGAGAGAGAATCACACAGGGTTCAGTGTTAATCACAGAGAGAGACTCACACAGGGTTCAGTGACAATCACAGAGAGAGACTCACACAGGGTTCAGTGTTAATGACAGAGAGAGACTCCCACAGGGTTCAGTGTTAATCACAGAGAGAGACTCACACAGGGTTCAGTGTTAATCACAGAGAGAGACTCCCACAGGGTTCAGTGTTAATCACAGAGAGAGACTCACACAGGGTTCAGTGTTAATCACAGAGAGAGACTCCCACAGGGTTCAGTGTTAATCACAGAGAGAGACTCCCACAGGGTTCAGTGTCAATCACAGAGAGCGACTCCCACAGGGTTCAGTGTTAATCACAGAGACTCCCACAGGGTTCAGTGTCAATCACAGAGAGAGACTCCCACAGGGTTCAGTGTTAATCACAGAGAGAGACTCACACAGGGTTCAGTGTTTATCACTGAGAGAGACTCACACAGGGTTCAATGTTAATCACAGAGAGAGACTCCCACAGGGTTCAGTGTTAATCACAGAGAGAGACTCACACAGGGTTCAGTGTTAATCACATAGAGAGACTCACACAGGGTTCAGTGTTAATCACAGAGAGAGTCTCCCACAGGGTTCAGTGTTAATCACAGAGTGAGACTCCCACAGGGTCCAGTGTCAATCACAGAGAGAGACTCACACAGGGTTCAGTGTTAATCACAGAGAGAGACTCCCACAGGGTTCAGTGTTAATCACAGAGAAAGACTCACTCAGGGTTCAGTGTTAATCACAGAGAGAGACTCACACAGGGTTCAGTGTCAATCACAGAGAGAGACTCACACAGGGTTCAGTGTTAATCACAGAGAGAGACTCCCACAGGGTTCAGTGTTAATCACAGAGAGAGACTCACACAGAGTTCAGTGTTAATCACAGAGAGACTCACATAGGGTTCAGTGTTAATCACAGAGAGAGAATCACACAGGGTTCAGTGTTAATCACAGAGAGAGACTCACACAGGGTTCAGTGACAATCACAGAGAGAGACTCAC